AAGCAAAGGAGCTTCTGAGTGAAAGGTCATTGCTTTCATGTTAACATTATTATTTTTAAGACCTTTAGTCACAAAAGACTGTATATGGCTTGTCACAAGGGAAGCTAAAAAATGTTATGACTTTTATAACATAAAATAATGTTATGTTATTCAGCTTCCATTAAATAAATAGCATTACATAGATATGATTTATATTAGCAATATGAAACAGAACTCTTTAATCACTATAAAATTCAGTTATTTTTCTATTTTCTTACTTTGCTAAAGCGGTTTATTTAATGCTTTTAAGATTTTTCCAGAATATATCAGCCACTGACATATAGTGTGAGCTCACTCCAAGCTAAAAAATGTAAATGTTTATCATTTGGCTATTATGAGAATACATAATTAATATTTATAAAGTATTCAAGTTATTTATAAAACGCATTTTTATATAGCTACTATGACTTCTATATGCTATTTTTAATACATTAAGAAAATTTTGCCTCACTTCTGCTATAACATTTTAATTGAAAACCCTAAATCTTGAAAGGCAATTGGGATATCTCAAAAGAGGTAAAAGTGTGGAGAATAAAAGCATCGATTAAATATGTTCTAAAAGAAATATTAAGATTTTAGTTTACCAAAATTAACACATTCAATATAAGTATTATGCCATTTGTTGATTTAGAGTTTGATAACAAAATAGCCACATATGCCTAAAACAAAAATTTCATAAGGATAAAACCTATCTTGACTAAAGTAAGCTTATAACTTTCGAAATAAAGAATTCAAATAATACTGATTCCAAATGTAGATAATTCTGTCTCCCTATATTTATCATTAGTACTAGATAAATTGGTAAACAGTACATTTCGAAGTCTTATAACACTAAAAGCATGCCCCTAATTGTCTAAATTCAATAATAATCATTTGAAATATGATCTGTACCTGTGGTTCAACAGGCAAGTGTACATAAAACGTATGGGAATGAACAGAGCGAAGCTCAGAAACCACCTGTGCTATCTTGGGAACTGGGCCATTCATTGAGGTGTGTTAATAGTTTTCCTCACTGCACTGCAGAGCATTAATCAAGGCCATCTACTTACGGGAGGGTCTGCGTCTTCAGCATAGACGGTTGTGATCGGTGTACCCTTGGCAGCATCTGGAGCCACTATCCCTCTGTAGAGCCGTTTACTAAATACTGGAGGATAATCATTCATATCCTGTAAAACACAATTAAGAGTTCAGTGCTTGAGTTGAAACCGGGGTAGGTACAGTTCCTGGACCAGCTCCATCTCTTCATATCATACAACCCATTTAACCCTGCCAACCTTCCATCCTTTCAGTTCCGTTACTCTCACTTCAGAATGGCACCTCGGAGTAAATCACTCGAGTTCCTGTACTATATTAATGTGTGTGATATCAACAGAAGGCCATTCCACTAGAGGAAACAGCGTGCCACCCATTCCCACCACCACCAAGTACACCTTTTAGAAACTGGAGTGATGCTTGAAATTTCCTTGAAAGGTACTTCTATTGGAATGATATATTACTGAACTTTGAAAACAAGTAAGAAAAAAATTTATAAAAAGTGTCCTTCTATGAGACAAGTGTAGAAGATGGCGTTTTATGCTTGCTTTGTTGTTGCTTTTTAAAAAAGCAATTTAATGTCTCTGTTGTAACTTCAAATTTTTTATATACTTAGCACAATGATATGCTTAGAACATTGCACATGAAAAGTGTGAAGTATTCTTTGATGCCATCTTACATTTTTACAAATGTAAAACGATTAAAGGATGTTTTCCCTACAGCACACTACAATAATGACAGATAGGAGTAGATGTTCTTATAGACAGAAAGCAATGATGATTACTAAGGACTTTTCTCAAAGTAATTTATATGTGTCTTGCTTATTTTCAGAATTCAATGACATAAATGCATTTTTATTTATTTAGTGTCACTCATTAAACAAATATTTATCAAGTTTTTTTCTGACTTTTATAACCCAGTGCTAGGCACTGCGGATACTGTGGTGACTCAAGGAAAAGATGCCCCTATCTTCATGTCACTTTACTGCTATTTGGCAGTTAAGGGTGCTAACTGCACAGATAGGTTAGGTACTTTGACTAAATTAAACTACTTATTTTGCAGAGCCAAACTGATAAACATGGTCCCCTGAGAGCAAGATCATTTTTTTTTCCTCAACCATTTTATCTTTTATGGAGAATTAAATATTATTTTTCCCCTCAAAAGCAATGCTTATTAACATGGCTGATTTATATTTTTAAAATTTATTTATTTTAAAACAATCATTACACCTTGCATTGTTTTGGGTAATCTGGGTCAAACCTCTTTGAGCCCAAAGTTAATTTTTTTAATTATCTTACTCTCTACATCATCCTTTCTTCACTTGCTATTAAAAATGAAATAAGAAAATTATTCTACATAGTCTTTGATATTTGATCTAACACAATTTTCCTGTACAATGTATATTGGAAGCACACTAATTATAAACACCCCTTTTTGCAAAGAGGTCAGGGTAATTATCTATTATAATCAAATAGAGCTTGTTTTATGTTTGCAATAGAGTTGATTTCTGAGTTGTGAATATGAAAAAACCTGCAGACTCTAATAAAAAATTGGAAGGCTTGGACCTGAAGGGAAAATGGAAAAAAAATTATTTCCTCTGTTTGGACATAAAAGTATTCACAACCTCTTCCATAAAAAAAGAAGAGTTCCTTTGTAAATTATGAACTGTAGAATCTGAACAAGTAAATGAACCCAGGAAGCACTGGTTGTCTCTAATGAAGACAGAGTTGGGCATTGAAGTTGAGTCTGGGTAACTATATAAAACATTTGCATGCACACTTTCTCCTTCTCTTTTCAAGAGTGCCAATTATTTTAATGAGTGAATACTGTAACTAAAAAGGGTGGAAATCCTCTTGTACTCCTAAATTTTAACTCCTGGAGGTTAGAAAAGAACGAGTCTAGCATTTGCAAGTTTTCTGTACCTGAGTTTCCAAAGTCACATAAACTCAATGTGTTTCCACAAATTTTCTTTTCTTTTCTTTCTTTCTTTTTTTTCTTCCCTGTAGGGGACATTTAAAACCTTAATGCTATAAGGAGGTACTTTTTGGATACTTTGATTCTTCAGGGAAAAAAAAAAAAGATACCTGATGTTTTTTACTAAAGTCAATACAGCCGATAACAGTGCTGACTACAGTGACCTATTTTTTTCTGAGAAAGTATTTACTTGATTCACCTTCTAACTGAATGTGCAGTGGACATTTTATAATCTGACCTTACAAACTAATTAGACACAAACCTAAGGCTGTAAAGAACTGAAGACAACTAAAGGATTGGTATCCTTCCTTTCAGTTTCCTTGCCACTGACAGGATGAAGAATCAATCGATATAATTATTGTAGCGCTATTTCTTCACATGGTACATTGCATACCTATTGGGGTTAAAAATCTTTTATTGAGCCTAAGATGTGCAGCCAATTGCACATAGTTCTTGCACAATGCATTATTTCAGATGAGAAAATTTACTGAAATGTAATGCCATTGAGTATAATCAATAGTTCCACATATTTATGCTCCAGGGGTGTCTGAAGAAAATTCTATAAATGTTTTCTTATACAGAAAATTAAGGATAAACTCCTCACCAAACATAACCCCCTTTCTGTTGCCTATTATTCCACTAGAGGGTAGCATTGGAAAAAAGAAATATTTAATTTTCTGTCCTCCGGTTCATAGTTTTTACCACTAAGACCCTTTATAGTTTGCTTTCTGTTGTTATATATCTGTTGGTCTGAACAAAAATTAGTTTTCATGTTTCTAAAGTGTACTCTGAATGTTACCATGGTTCTCAACTGGAGCACCACCATGCTCTTCTTAAAAAAAAAAGTTGCACTTATAAAATTGGTCCCATATATCAAGCAAATAAAACCTCACCTGAAGGTACAGTTAGCTGCGAGAAAAGAAAAATGTGTTTCATTGATTTATTTTCTAAATTAGAGCCTCAAGTAATCATGGAAACAATTTCTGCTTTGGCAGACCATGGAGTAGTTTTAAGGAACCTTTTTTTTTTTTTTTAATAAGCATACCTAGAAAATAGGAATTTGCTGGTGAGATTACAAATTAATGACAGGTTTTCCATGAAAAGTTAAGAGAGAGATGACATATATATTTTTTTGAATCATTAGTAAAAACTGTGCTGGTTAAAAGACCTTTTTTCCTGATAAAAATGTAATAACTGGTTATACTCTGATTATCTTTTTAAAAATGATAGAATTATTTTTAAAATGTTAGAATTATAGAGAATGCTGGCCTTTTCGTCTTAAACTCTCACGCGTGCTCTATGAGGAGACACAGATGCCGCGTGCCAGAGGGGGGAATGGCCTCCGTTACTACTGTAGGACTGCCTAGGTTAGCACTACCATTCACAGAGAATGGTTCAGCCACCCTGCCCTCCCGAATCCCTTAAGGCTATGGTGCTGATAACCTTTTCTTCCTTGACAGACTGACTACTCAGTTGATTTCTCCTCTGCCTGTTACCAGTTCTCTTTTCCACTGTCAGACACCCTCTGTTTGCTGTCCCATTGCTGTTTCTCATATTGTCAGCCTTCTGCTGTATGTTCCCTTTTGGTTTCTCTGCTTGTCTTTTTGTCTTTTCTGACCTTCTCTCCCTCCTCTTATGGTTCTGCACATAGTGTCAAAAACGCCCCATCTCCAGCCAAACAAATCTTTGTTTTTCTGTTTTGCATGAGGCTCTCTTAAATACAAATTATAATCATAAAGTTATATCAACTTAAAAAAAATCAAATCCTATACTGCAAGCTCCTTTCTTAGTTGCCTAGGTTTGTTTTTGTTTTATTTATTTCTGAGATTAGAGTTATTCTTGATTTTTTTTGGGGGGGGCAGGGGAGGGGAGATAGCGTACCCCAGTTTAGAGGTGATCAAAGTTATGCTTTGTCCCAAGTAGCAAAATGTACACTAAGAGTCTCAGTGTCACAAACACTGATGGCACTCCTACTGGGCATTATGCAGTCCTTTAGTTGCTGAGATGGTTACCACCAAGAAAGGCATAGTGCCTGCTAGTACCAAGGTTATAGTTTAGTGTGGAAAGAAAAATAAGTAACGTCAAATGTAACACATGTTATGAAAGAGGATGTACAAAGATATGAAGAGAGTACATAGCAGGGAGTTGAGTTAACTAAATTTAACACAGGATGCATTTCAGTTATCTTAGCAACTGCCCCCTCACTCATGCACTGTGGCAGGTAAAACAGTGTTTCCAAATTGATAGTTAAATTAGAGGAAGATAACACTATGCAGTATTGACAAGCCCACTGATTTAATACAGAATTGCATTCCCATCTAGTTTTCCTGTAGTGGAATGGTAATGTGGGGAAAAGGAGTTGATTTTTTTAGGGAATTATTTTTCAGACTGTGACACTATGGTCAATTGGGAGAATAAGTCTATATTATGAGCTAGCATCTCAGAGAAGATTCTCACAATATCAGCCTATTTCAGATTTTTTCCAAAGTGCATAACATTTGTGTGTGTGTGCCTGTGTGTGCACATGCGTGGTTTATTTTTACTATATATCAGGCATATGTGAGGAGTGTTAAATTTATCATTTTAATTAACTTGCTTAAATATGTTAGCTTTTTATTATTATTCTTATTTTAAATATATAAAAAACCTGAAGCTTAGAGAGATTAAGTTGCTCATAGTTATGCAGCTAATAAAGGATAGAGCTATGATTTAATTCTAGTATATCAGACCCTAAAAGCATTTCAACATTGCAGGTGAGAAAAAGAGAATTGGCAAAGTTATCAGAAGCTTCTATGTAAGATGGCTTGAGTAGGATTTTCATTAGAAAATCCACACATAAATTTTAAAATAGCTCTTTCCGAAAATATTTTACATTTAAAAAAATTATTCCTATTAGCTACTATACTTTTATTTTGCTGGACTGGTGAGCTTCTGAACATTTAATAATGCTAATCTATTCCCCTAAAGATAAATTTTACAAATATTCATAAAGCTGTTTTTGTTTATTTGATTAAAAAGAGAGTTGTAGCAGTCATATTTGTATCTTAAAACAACTTATTCAATATTTAACCTTAGAAATAGTTATTTTCACTAAAACCTAATATATATGTATTTTCTTTTCCAAATTGCATTCTTTGAAAAATCAATTCTATCAAAAAGC